CTTTAACTGTTTGGTAGAAATCACCAGTGAAGCCATGGGTCCTGGATTTTTTTTTTTTTTTTTGGCAAGTTTTAAAATTACTAATTCAATGTCTTGTTATAGATCTATTCAGATTTTCTATTTCTTTTTGGGTCAGTTTCAGTAGCTTGGGTTTTTCTGGAATTTCTCCATTTCATCTAGATTATCCAATTTGTTGGCATACATCAATTCATAGTATTCCCTTATAATCCTTCTTATTTCTATAAGGTCAGTAGCAATGGCCTCTCTTTTATTTCTGATTTTAGTTATTTGTGTATTTTTTTCTTGGTCCATCTGGCTAAAGGTTTGTCATTTTGTTAATCTTTTCAAAGAAAAAGCTTCTGATTTTCTTAATTTTCTCTATTGTTTTTCTATTCTCGATTTTATTTATCTCTGCTCTAATCTTTATTATTTCCTTTCTTCTGCTACTTTGGGATTTAGTTTTCTTTTGCTAATACATTAGGTTGTAAAGTTAAGCTGTTGATTTGAGATCTTTCTTCTTTTTAAAAAATTTTTATTTTTTTATTTATATTTCAAAAATTTTGGCTGCATTGGGTCTTCGTTGCTGCATGCAGGCTTCCTCTAGTTGCGGCGAGTGGGGGCTACTCTTCATTGCAGTGCATGGTCTTCTCATTGTCGTGGCTTCTCTTGTTGCGGAGCATGGGCTCTAGGCACGCGGGCTTCAGTAGTTGTGGCATGTGGGCTCAATAGTTGTGGCACGCGGGCTCAGTAGTTGTGGCTTACGGGCTTAGTTGCTCCACGGCATGTGGAATCTTCCTGGACCAGGGCTCTAACCCGCGTCCCCTGCGTTGACAGGCGGATTCTTTATTGCGGTACGCGCGCCTCTCACTGTTGTGGCCTCTCCCGTTGTGGAGCACAGGCTCCGGACGCGCAGGCTCAGCGGCCATGGCTCACGGGCCCAGCTGCTCCACGGCATGTGGGATCTTCCCGGACCGGGGCACGAACCCGCGTCTCCTGCATCAGCAGGCGGACTCTCAACCACTGCGCCACCAGGGAAGTCCTCTTTCTTCCTTTTTAATGTAAGCATTTATAACTATAAATTTCTCTGTTAGCACTGCTTTCACTGTGTTCCATACGTTTTGGTATGTTGTGTTTTCATTTTCATTCATTTTTACTTATTGTATGATTTCTCTTGTGATTTCTTCTTTGACCCGTTGGTTGTTTAAGAGTTTGTTGTTTAATTTCCACATATTTGTGAATTTTCCAACTTTCTTTCTGCTATTGATTTCTAGCTTTATTCCACTGTGGTTAGAGAAAATATATTATGATTTCAATCTTTTTCAACTTATTGAGACCATTTTGTGACCTAACATGTGGTCTATCCTGGAGAATGTTTCATGTGCACCTGAGAAGAATATATTTTCTGCTGTTGTTGGGTGGAGTACTACTATGTATGGTAAGTTTGTATTGATAGTATTGTTCAAGTCCTCTATTTCCTTGTTGATCTAAAAGTGGGGTATTGAAATCTCCAACTATTATTGTAGAACTTCCTCCTTCAATTCTGTCAGCTTTTGCTTCATGTAATTTGGGGCTCTGCTTTTAGGTGCATGTGTGTTTATAATTGTCATAATTTATTGATGGATTGACCGTTTTATCATTATAAAATGATAAATGTCCTTCTTTATTTCTAGTAACAATTTATGTCTTAAAGTCTACTTTGTAGACTTTGCTTCCCTGGTGGCGCAGTGGTTCAGAGTCTGCCTGCCGATGCAGGGGACGCAGGTTCGTGCCCCGGTCCGGGAAGATCCCACATGCTGCAGAGTGGCTGGGCCTGTGAGCCATGGCCGCTGAGCCTGCGCGTCTGGAGCCGGTGCCCCGCAACGGGAGAGGCCACAACAGTGAGAGGCCTGCGTACTGCAAAAAGAAAAAAAAAAGAGTAACTTGGCTATCTTCCTCACCGTTGTATCTCTGGTGCCTAGAATAGGGCCTGACACATTGTAGGTGCCCCAAATACTTGTTGACTGAATAGAATGAATGGTAATACCTGTGCTTAACAGGAAGACCTCTTCCAAGGCCTTCCGTATAAGGAGAGCTGATGCTGGAGTCCCCTAAGTCTATAGAGGGTCCAGGTCTGCTTTCACCACCAGCAGAGACTTCATCCCAGTTTGCCTTCGATTGAGTTGCATTTTATCACTTCAATTCATTCATCATTGATCATCCAGCTACAGTTTCCATGGCAACCCTCAACTAAGCAGAATATTCCATCATCCAGGACACTCACTATCCCACCCTTGTCAGAGCACCCAGTTCACTATCAAGGTGTTTTCCAGCCTCTAGCAAAGGGTAAGATCTTGGGTGGGGAAACAGAGGCCTTGGGTCTCTTTTAGATGGGAGGTTCAAGGCATAAGAAATTCACTGGATTTCATGGCTGATTCTTGTTTCTGCTTTTATGTCAGGAAAGCCAAACCTCCAATAGGAGGACCAGCCTGCAGCAGTGGTAAGGAGAGGTGAAATGTTTCATTTTCCCACATCGGGTCAGGAAGTCCTTTGGTCCCATGTTCTGGGTTCAGAGCTTCTCCAATTGCAGGAAGGAAGTTACCTGGCTCAGCAGGGGTTCAAAGCCCTTATGCAAAGTCTTGCTCCTGGAAGAAGCAGTGCCAGGGGATCGAGTAAGGTAAGCTCAGTGTCTGGCGCGGGTATGGAATAAGGTAACTCCTCAGTGCCTTTCAGGGGGAGATCTGAGTCGCTTCATCATGAAGGAGATTCCAAATAAACTGCTCTCCACCTGACCTCAGCACTTTGGATTCCAAAGACCCCACAAGCAGGGAATCTGGCCTAATTTCATGTTCACCCCAATGCTAATGATATGAGTTCCTGCCAAGTCATAACATACAACATTGAAAATAGACTCCAGGAACCTCAGTGACCCAGTAATGATCTTGGTTTTAGAAGTCACAGCTTCCATTTTGGCCTATCAAGTACACCAAGCACACAGTGTCATTTGGCCCCAAGATTGGACTCTGCTCCCTTAGAATAAAAATTTAGACATTGCCACTTGGGAAGGGGACAAACTGAGTTATACTCTGCAGCTACTGAAATAAAGATACAAAAATAGAAAGTGGGGGTGAGGGAGGCATACCTAACATTTGTGGAGATGGGGAAAGTATCAACACATCTGCCAGGGCCAGGTGGACACAGAGAGGTGGCTCTGGGAGGACACATTGGCCCTAGGTCCCCTCGGAGCCAAAAGCCAGAGGCAGGGGGTGGGTGGAAGGGCCGTCAGAGCCACAGCCCGGCTTGGATCCCAGCTCTGACCTTTGTCAGCTGTATGATCCCAAAGTCACTGTTTAATTGTTCCACGTATTCACCTGTGAATTGGGATGAACTCTTTCAGGGGGTCGTGAACAGGATTAAATGAGATTTTAATGCAGAGCACACAGAGTAGATGCTGAACAGGTGTCACACCTGGGACAGGGCGCTGAGGGTCATCTAGCTAAGCTTGATTCCCAGTTGAGATGACAGGGACAGGCTGGGGACAGAGAGGCTGGGAAGAGCCTGCGGGGCATCCCCAGATGGAGCCTGGAGTTGAGGAGGGAAGGGCGCAGTCCAGCACCACACCCTCCTCCAAGCGTCCTGAGCTCCCCTGGGGCCACACCCTGGGGCTCGGCCCAGTCTAACCAGAGAGGACAACCTCCTGCCGGGGTTTGCAAAGCACCAGCCCTCCCTGCCCTCAGCCCCGGACAAGGAGAAAGCAGACATCAAGGCATCTTCCAGTGCATTTTAATCAAAATTCCATCATCAGAAGAGTTCTTGTAGCATACAGTGTTAGGATGGGCATGTCGACTTGCTCCTACAAATGGAATATCCACAGATTTGCACTTCAAACATGTATGAAAAATAAAATATATAATATTTAGCTGTATAAATTTCCCCACTAATCACGTTATCTTTAAAATAAATGACTACCTCTGTCCAATAAATTAATCAGCCGGGAGTCACTAAGCAGACATCAGCCAAATGATATCCGTTTCCTGAAAACATTCTGGGGGAAATACTGGAGACAGTCAAATGCTTACAGGAATCAACATGAATTAAAACTAGCACGTCCAAAAAACAACAAAAAACAAAAAAAAACTAGTACGTTCCTCACAGTGGGGCAAGACATCAAAAATGCGAGCCAGCTAATGGCTGCTCTTTTCTGTCGGAGAAAAAAAAAAAAAATCAATTCCCCAAACCACACCGAATGGTTGTAAAAGCTGCAACTGAACTTTTGGCACCAGTGGAGAAAAAACACCTTTCAAAGCCATACCCAACCAGGATTCTGCCAAAGCATGGGTCAGAGGGAGAGGGGACAGAGGGGGAGGGACAGCTGCCATGGCCCTTCTCTGTTCTGAGTTCCCATTCACAGCCCCTTCTCTGGAGCCATGGATGCTCCCTCCACCTTGGAGAAGGCAGGGCATTGTCCGGGCAGCCCGCCTTCCTCAGTAGACTCAAGAGTTCCTGGGACGGAAATATTCACAGCATAAAGAACATCAAGAGAAAGGCCCTTTTGTGGGGAGGGTGGAACGGCGGGGGCGGGGGGGTTTGCTGCGTGCTCAGTTGACAGCAGGGTGTACTCAACACATAAGGGACGCAGCCACTCCAGCGGGACGGATGCACAGCCTCCGAAGGGGCTGGACAGACGGCACACACGAGACACCAAGGATCCGAGAGGGTGGGCAGGGCTGGGGTGCGCTAGCATTTACAGGGGTGCTGAACAGGGCTTTAAGGACAAGAGTCCCTTCACAGCAGAAGTCTGAAATCCACCCACCTGCAGCTCAGGGCTTCTTCCCCCTCCCCCAAAACCAACAAAACCTTGGTTAGGAACAAATAAGCTGGTGACAAACGCCTCAGGCTTAGAGATGCCCTGGGAACGGGCTTTGGGGGTCCCGGCGCACTATGGCAGGAGGTTTATACACAGTTCCACCGGGGTAGTAAGGGGAACGGCCCGACCCCCGCCTCCTGGACAGAGGAGCAGGTGTCTACAAGTCAAGGAGACGCTCCTCGCAGGTCTCCACCGGCCACTTTGAAGCCCCTCCAAACACGTCCACGTTGTTGTCCACCCAGGGGATGATGTTGCCCGGCATGTTCGTGGAGCAGTTGGCGATGTTGATGATTTCTTGTGCACGAAGGACGCGGTCCCATATGTTGAACTGGCTGAGCTCCCCCACGAATGCCTGCGTGGCATCGAACCTGCCCCCAACCGTGTCCTGGGAAAGAGGAACAGACTGCATCGGGGCAGGTTCACAGGCAGACACATGTGCTACCTGTCCCAGTGCGTGACTGGCTTCAGGGGAGGTGTGGGGATGCCAGCCTGGGAGGGAGATGGGGACTGGGGCAGTTTCCTGACTCCCCAACTCAGATCGCAGCCCGTGACCACTGATTCCTGCCAGTTCCAAAGCTTTAGGGCATGTCAGGCCTGGGAAATGGTGTGACTCAAACCGGCCCATTTTAGGGAAGGGGAACTAAGCAGAGAGATCCTTGCCCAAGGCCCCAGAGCGAGGACTGGACCCGGGTCTCCCGACTCCCAGCCCCTCCCAGGGGAGAAGAAACAGGGTAGTGGGGAGCGGGGAGAGCCAAGGGCCCAGACTCAAAGCCCCCCAGAGGACCTGGAGTCTGTTCCCTCGTTTTCCACGTTTTCCAGGAAACCCCAAACACAGACTGAAATGTGAATTCTCATCTGCCCGAAAGCAGACGGCCTCTGCCCCAGATGGCGAGTTTTCTGAGCGCGGTCCCTGAGGCCTGGCCCCATCTCGCCCACAGGTGTTGCTCCCCAGGTGCCCTTGCTGGGGATCAGGGTTGCGACCCTGAGCTGGCAGCTCCTGGAAGATGCCAATACCAGCCAGCGCCCAGCACCTGGAGTCAATGCAGTGGCCGGCAGAGGCCAAACAGCTGGAGAGATGGCCCGGGGTCGCTACCTAACCCTGGGACTCCAGGGTCACTCCTGCTCACCTGTATCGGACAGACTCCATTCTAGAATCTGTCTGAACCCACCACACCAACTTGGTCCCTGCCAGGAAGGGCAGGATGTGTCCCCACCCCCGCTCTCAGCCCCTTAGGCCACAGGATAGCACAGGCTGAGCCGGCAGGGATGCTGGCCATCCAGGCTGGTCATCGTGCTGCGGTGGCCAGGTCCAGGTCCGGCAGGCAGACAGACAGCTGAGCAGGGCCAGGGGCAGCCCGCAGGCCTGGCTGTGTGCTGCTTGGCCTGCCAGCCGCTCCTCCCGGCACCCCACCTGCACCCACCTGCTCCTGCCCGAGAATCAGCACACCCCCCGGCTTGATGGGGTGCCACGGGGCCAGGTTCTCCCCGGTGCCCAGCTTCTCCCCATCCTGGAAGGCCTCCCACATGCCGTCCCGCGTTGTCCAGGTGACACAGATGTGGTGCCACTTGCCGTCACTGACAAACAGGGGCAGCTGTGCGACCTGTGGGCGGCAACGTGCAGGTGAGGGCTCCCTTGGGGTTCCCAGGAGTCTGACCTGGGGATACGGAGACCCTGGGCCCACTGCTGCTCCCCTTCTATGCTCTGTGGGTAACATGCCCGACCTTGCCCAGCTCAGAGTGACCCTTGGGCTGGAGACACCACGTGTGTCACAGACTCTTAAGGGGAAAGGGGCAGCCTGGGTACACACCCTGACCCCAGAGTGACCTGCTTTCAACTGGACACCCTTGGACCTGGGCTTAGTTAAGGGCCTAGGATTCTGTGCAGACCAAGCAAATGTGACAGACGGCTCCCTACCCTGCATACTGGTCCTGAAGAACTGGAGAATCTAAAGGGAAGTCAGGACTCTACTGGACCAATTTCTTTGGAAAACAGACCAGGCATCTACCCTCTGCAGGCAAAGTCCCAAGTGCCATCGTGGCACTTGGGGATCTGCATGTATGTGTGTCCTCCTGTGCAGAGCACCTTCAATTACGTGTGAGTGTAGGGGGGTGGGAGGATGCACGTCGAACTGGGGGGAGGGTCTTTCCCACCCACACTGTCTCCTGGCAGTCCTGTGAGTGCTCTACAGACCAGGTCGCCTGTGAAGCACTATGTTGTTACTGCTGGTGTCCTAGCAACCCGGAGCTCCCTCCCAGGAATGGGCTATTTACACGACATCTAAACCGAGAGAAAAACAAGGCTCTCGTCCAAGGGCATTATTTAGAATAATTAATCCCTAGCTCAAGGATGTGGTCACCGCTGGAAAGAGCCCTGAAGGTGGATTCCATAGCGTTTCCCACTTCAGTTCCAGCCAGGGCGATTTAGTAAAGACAGACAGGGTGGGAGGCCATTGCCTGGTGAGCGCTCTGGGGGCTCAGGCAGCCAGGGGGCTGGTGCAGCCATTCACCACTCAGCTCCAGCAAGGAGGGTGTGAGGATGCAGTTCGGGTGATGCGGAGCCTGACTTAAGTTTAGGTGAGGCTGTTGGAGGGTCCCGCAGATGCTCAGAGCTGATCTCTTGAGGAGACCGCGTTCCTGAATGTCGAAATAAGCCAGTCCATCAGAAAGGGGACATTTACTCTGTAAAAGGCAGGACTACAGGGATGGGGGCAGATGGGTGGTTGCCATGGGCTGCGGTAGGAGCAGGAGGTGACTACAAAGGGGAATGAGGAAATTTGGAGGATGATGAAACTGTTCTAGATTTTAATTGTGGTGGATACAATAATTGTATGCATTTGTTAAAACTGGTTGAACTATACACTAAAAAGTGTAAATTTTATTGTATATAAATATATTTCAAGCCTCCCCCACTAAACGATGTGCTCATGAGAAGTATCACACACACACACACACACACACACACACACACACACACACACACACACACACACACACACACCCTCCCCTAATTGGTGCAGCCCCGGGGAACAGCCCTCGCTGACCGGCCTGAGGGTCCGTGACAATTCAGGCCAGCACGCAGAGACCCAGCTCATTCTGTTCCTTCTGTGGCCTCTGTGCCTGGACCCTCTGCTGCTTCCTGGCGGGATTCACAGCTTGGATCTCCACAAGCTGCAGCTGCCTGCCCCCTGCCCCCTACCCAGCCACCTGCCCAGAGTGGGACTGAGTCAGGGCAAAACTGTCCCCACTGCGAGGAGGACAGCCCCGTGGCCAGACGTCAGGCTCCCTGCAACATCCCAACCTCGGTGGCCGCCAGGATGGGGGGTGGCCGTCCCAGCAGGCCTCACCTTGTCGTTGATGAGCAGCTCAATGGGGTTGTTGCCCCACTCTATTAGCACGATCTCGTTGGCCTGCCCGGGCACTGCGTAAGAGAACGGGGTGCCGATGCCCGGCGAGGCGCTGGACCGCAGCCACAGGCAGATGGTGAAGGCGTACAGCTCGGGCAGTGTCTTCTTGATCTTGCCGTACAGGTAGTTCGTGCGGAGGGGGAGGGACACTTTGAAGGCATCAGGCGACTTGAAAGCACTGTTGCCTGGGGCAGGGGAGAGAGGGGCAGCAGCATGTGATCCCCCTCTCTCTTCCCTCTCAACCACAACCCAGAGTGGCAGCCCACCTGGACTCCCGCCTGGCCTACCAGCGGGTCCCCCAAGCAACGGAGCACCTGCTACCGACCGGCTGCTGTTCAGTGCTGAAGCTCCAGTGGGAAGCAGGCATATCCTCACTCTTGGAAGCTCAAGGAAGTGGGTAGGGGCAAGCTGGATTTAACTTTCTGGTTAAATTAAGCTAGAATCCCTGTTCCCTCCACTGTTTGCTTGAAATCCCGGCCCCTTCAGCAGGGCTGGGTCAGGGGCCTGCTGGGCTTGGAGGCAGGACATCTTACAGGAACCCAGGCGCTCCATAGACACTTGTCCCCCAATGAGTCCATGTCACTTCTCCCCCAGAAGAATCGCCCAAGGCAATGGAGCCAGGCACCCGTGACTCGACACAACAACTTAACTCAGAAGGGGCTTTTGGATTAAATCCCTGGTGTGAATTGCTTTGCTCATGATCTGCCCTGCTCTCCTCAAGAGGACACCAAGTTGATGGACCGTCTCCTGCAGTCTGGAAGCAATGGGAGGCAGGGAAATGCAGAGGCTCCCTCTCCACGGAGGCTACCCACTGGCCAGGGTCTTGACCCTTGAGGCCTGCCTGGGGCCGTCCCCATGTAAATGGCACTTCCCAGACCTTTTGAAAACGAGTGATACTCTTAAACAGGTCTAAGGCATTTTCAGTGCAGTTTTGATTTAAGCTCAAAATTCATGGCAACATCACAAATAAACACGCAAGAAGACAAGCCCCTGCCTGGTTATCACAGATCTCAGAGTTTGCAGGGGACTGGTGACTCCGGGAGCTGTCAAGGCAAAAGCTTCCCTCTCATTTGGGGACCAGGCGCTGCCAGGGAAGGAACCTAAATGCCTTTCATTCATTCAACAAGTATTTATTAAGCACCCACAAGGGGCCAGATGGTCCCCATCTCTGTCAAAGACAGGCAGGCTCTCCCGGCCTGGAACCAAACTGCCCATGTCACTGGTGGACTAAATCTGTCCCTTTCTTGCCCCCCTCTGTAGAACAGGACCCAGAGTGGATGAACTTTCTCCGTCATGATCCCCCAAACTCATTTTCTGCCACAGTGAGGAACACGTGAGAGAAGCTCTTCGGTGCCACAGTTCACACCTACCGAAGGACCTTCTGCAAAGGAAGGCAGCAGGGCCCAGTGTCACCCTTCCAACCTCTCTGGAACAGGCAGCACAGAAATACTAGAATCTGGGCTTCACACGTACTATTTACTTCTATCTGCTGGTTGTGCAGCCTTGCCTCATCCATCCTGACCTCCCAAGGCTGTGGAGCACCCAGCGAGGGCTGGGAAGACCCTGTTGCCTGGGGAAGCCGAGGATGTGGCCAGGCTAGAGGTTAGGCTGGCACGGGCCCCACATGAGGCTGAAGCAGAGCTAAGGGAGAGAACCAGAAAGCCCCAACCCCCCGATTTTGCATGTTGCACAGTGGGGACACCCCGGGACTTACCCCAGGTCACGCGGCCCGTGAGTGACAGAACCAGGAACAGAAGTCCCGCTTCCCACTACGCGCAGCTGTGAGTCCTTCCTCTGCAAATGTTTGCGCTTTCACGAGATGTGATTATCTAATAGAGAGAAATGGCTTCTCTCCTTGCAGGTGGGCAGGCTTGCTGACTTAATAAGGCTCGGTGTCAGTAATATCATTAGCTCGGTGACAACAGAGGTTTCATCAGAGCTGGGAGAGCCGAGGGGTGGCCATACCTCGAAAGCCGGGGCCCTCTATTTATATAAAACAGCTTGGAGGTTCAGAGGAAACTCAGTTAAAACCAATTAAGGAATTAAAAGCCCTGACCAATAAATCAGAGACTGCAGGTGGCAGACAAGCCAAGGAGGGGGGTGGCTTGAGGCCAAAGAGACAAGGGTTCCAACGTTTACTTCAACTCCGAGCTCGGCTCTGCCTGGCCGGCGGACCCGGGTCTGGAGGCAGCCACAGATGAGGAGGTCTCACAATAAAGAAAACGAGCACCCGTGGGACCTGGGCGGTAGGGGCACACGCAGGGTTGGATGCGCACCACTGGGCTGGGAGGAGCCTCCCGCCCAGCATGGCCGGAGCTCACATGTCCCTCCAGGCTGCAGCCTTCATGACTCTGGTCCTCGGGGGTCACCACTAATCTCAACCCCCGCTCTGCAATCTGCCAGCCACGTGAATGCAGGCATCGCTTAGCTCTGACTCAGTTCTTCATCTAACTAGATCCCACCTCACTGGGTTGTTGCAGGGGTTACAGAGCATAGAGAATGTGCAGCTCAGAGGCCAGCATCTGGCGCAGAACAGGCAGGGGACAATGCAGCGAAGGCCAGAGCACCCCAAAGCCACCACTTTGCATATGGTGGAGGTATCTCTCCTCTGGGCTCAGCAGGATGCTTCTAAGGAACACGGTGTATATTCTACTCATGGTATATTTGGGCCTGGGAGTTTACATATCCCTTCACACTTGTCTCTACATGACAGACATAAACTCAGAACTGCCCCGAAGGCAAATTGGTCAGCAGATGATAATTTTCCTCAAAGACTCATCCCACGGCTGGGTGGAGCAAACAGGATTCGAGAATTCTCGTGGTGGGGTCAAAAGGTAGAGGACAGCAAAAGCTGAGCTGCTGCCCAGTGCCAGGGCCTGCGGGCTCTGCAAGAATGGCCAGCCAGGGGACTTAATGTCGTGCAGTCCAGCTCTAGTTCGAACACAGACTTCCCCTCTGGGCCAGGTGAGCTCTGAGGGCTTTCCGTAGCACCAAAGAGCATGGGTGCAGGAATCAGGCTGGCTGGGGCGAGGCCTGACTGTTGCTTTCTGGCTGTGAACAGACAGGCTAAGGATGGGAGGGAGAGTCAAAAAGTGGCATCTCCTGGGTGGCCCAAGCCATGATGAAGAAACTTAGAGGAAGCCACGTGAAACTCACAACCTCCCTGGAGTCACAGAAAAAAACAGGGAGGGGCGGGATTATGTGACTGCGGCTGCTCACCAGCCGGTCCCCTCTCCCCACATGACACGTCTGGCTGAGAACCTCGGAGCACTTTTCTGGTCTATGAAATGGGTGTAACAGGAATCCTGCCTCCGCTCTAACTCAGTGGACTTCTACTAACCCACTTCTGTTAACCCACCTCCTTGTAGCCACTTGGCTTCCATGCCAAGCGAGGTATACAGCCACCAAGGTCTCTGGCAAAGCCCTCCCCGCATTCTACAGCCAACGCTGCTTCAAGCTACTGAGTAACTGCAGTGTCCCTGCTCCCTCAGCCTGCAGGTTGCAGGTCCCATGAGGGCGAGGCTGGGCCAGGGAACCCGAGCCACCCTCCCCTGGCCCCGACGCTGCCTTCCTCTCCTCCTGTCCTGTGACAAAGGCCTGAGCTGCAGTTGCTTTGCCTCCGGGGAAGGCTCTTGAGACCTAATGAGCTTCCTGAGGTCACCCAGCAATGGAGGTGAGGCAGAGAGGACTTTTTTTTTAACTCAAGAATCCAAGTGTAATAATAAGAGTAAGGAAGGAAGGACAGACTTTTCTGGAGGGAGAGAACAGGAAAGGGATGAAGGAGACCTGCGACTTCTGGGATGCTGCTGTAAAGGCGACTAAATCAGATGAAACAGAAACACCATCCCCTTGGGTGACTCCATCTGGCCCTGCGGAGCCGACGTCGCTGAAAGAGTAAGTGGACATTCTGCCATTGGACATTCACCTACCCATTCATAAAACTGAGTCATGAGAAATTGCCCTTGTCAGCTTAGTGTATCTGAAAAGACTACAATCTTATATCCACTACCAGCAGACCTAAAACTTCACACCCAGTGCAATCTGAATGATCTAGGGCCCTTGATCCCTCCCCTTCCTGTCTGTGGAAGAAACTTACCCACCAGAATGTGAGCAGAGAAGAGAAAGATACTCAGAATCTGCTGCAGGGGCTAGTTAAGAAGGGACTGAGGGCTTCCCTGGTGGCACAGTGGTTGAGAGTCTGCCTGCCAGTGCAGGGGACACGGGTTCGAGCCCTGGTCTGGGAGGATCCCACATGCCGCGGAGCAACTGGCCCCGTGAGCCACAATTACTGAGCCTGCGCGTCTGGAGCCTGTGCTCTGCAACGAGAGGCCCCGATAGTGAGGTCGGCGCACCGCGATGAAGAGTGGCCCCCCCGCTTGCCGCGGCTGGGGAAAGCCCTCGCACAGAAACGAAGAGCCAACACAGCCATAAATAAATAAATTAAAAAAAAAAAAAAAAAAAAAAAAAAAAGAGAACCACCTGGCAGGAGGTCAGGGATTAGGTTGTTTGTCCGAGCTGATCCTGAGTGTCTTGCTTTTCCACGGACAATGCCAGTGGGGCTGGGGGCAGGTAATTCCGGAAATGGCTGTTATCAGTCACCCTGATTGTCTGCTTGCTGTTCATGCATGCTGTGCAAGTTTGGATTCGCATAGTGGGAATAATACAAATGGAAAGTGGTCAGCAATGTCTCACCCTAGAAAGACATTAATGACAAGCTCTTCTTTGGAGACCTAGCAATCCAGTTTAAATTCATCAGCCATAACTGGGCAAGAAGGAAATTGGGCTAGCACAAACACGTCTTGCTGGGACTACATAAGTACAACCAATCAGGTACAATGGTCTCTAACTTGGCTAAAAGAAAAGCCACCTGGCTGGTCACAACTGACCCAGCTGGATTTCGGGACATGTTTTCCTAACCAGAACCTAGTCCTGTTTATGAGCACTATTTTGCTATTACAATTGGCTGAGGAATCCTTTCCAGAATCTTCAGAGCTATAGTACATCTGTTAAGTCAGATATTCCTATAATTTATCACGCAATAAAAGGAATATGAGTGAGTCTAACTACAGACTATAAAACAACAACAAAAAACAGCCACGAACCATGTAGTGCCACAATTACTGCTGACAACGGGGGTCTGAGCACAAGTGATGAAAACCAGGCCACTCCCATCAGCCATCAGCCCCCTCCATCCCCACCATCTCTGACAAGTGCCAACAAGGCCAAGTCGGCCCACCTGTGGGGGAGAAACCCCAACCCTGTGCACCATGAGATGACTCAGGTTGAAAAAGCAACACTTCGTCTGAGAAGTGAGAGGCAGAAGGGAGAGGTGGATTGTTGATTGGATGGTAAGGAGTCAGGTGGTTTTCTGCACCCAGGACTGAAGGTTCAGAGGTGATGGGAGAGCAGCCTCAGAGCCGAGCAAACTCGGGAAACTCGGGAGCAGAGCCACTGCCCGAGAGTCAGCAGGCAGGGGCCTGGGAGTGGCCTCATCTGACAATGGGCAAAAGGGCTGTGCTGCTGACCCCTCCCGGCCTGCCCTCCCTTACTCTGAGCCCCACTTCCAAGCCAAGAAGGGGCAGCCAAGAAGGAATACAATGGGCTGGGGGGCCGGATGGATGTCAGCCAAGGGGCCACAGAGACACTGGTGAAGCACTCACCTCGCTCCAGCTCGGTCACCCTCTGCAGCAGCGAGTTCAGCGCGCTCTCGGTCTTCTGGCGGTGAGCTGAGGTCTCATTGTGGAGCAGGGACTTCTCATCCTCCAGCTCGGCCACCTTGCTCAGGAGCTGCCTCTCCAGCTCCCCCAGCCGCCGCTGGAGCACCTCCCGAAAGTCGCCGGGCAGCGCCGCGCTGGACACGTTCACTCGGAGCTGGTGCTTTTGGTGGGGGAGGAGTGGACAAGCGGGGGAAGTATTAAGGCCAGTTAAAAAGAAACTGTGAGATGTAGCTCTAATGGCTCCCACACACAGGGAGAAGCTTCCAAAGTGGCAGTATTCAATCGTGCCAGTGGCAGGAAGGGGAGCATTTCACTGACGCTTTTTTTTTTTTTTGCTTGGGGGTATGGAAAGGATTTCATAGTCGGACAAGAATTGCTCTGCTGCGATATTTGAAACTTAGGAATCTCATTTCCCCTCTGAGAAAGCTGTTTTTCTTCTTTTACTAAAAGGTCAAAAATTTAACCAACATCTGTCATTCTCAAGTAAAGACCGAAATACAGCTAGGATTAAAAGAGAGAGAAAGAGTTAATCAAATGGTCCTCAAAACTGATGAACTTTCATCTAATCCCCCCAAGCTCCAGTACGGCACAAAGGTGCGTGACTAGGGTTGCAGGGATGTTACTGGAAAATGAGAACTCTAAAGCGTGACTACTCTGAATTCCAGAAATCTTTGATTTTATTTCTTTCACTCCTCTACCATTTTGCTGGCTCTGAAGGCAGCCAGCCACTGTCTAGCCATGAGTCCTTGGCAAGCTATTTACCCCCTCTCTCTAAGTGCTCCAAATTTTAAATGCAGATTATAGGATCTGCCTCATGGGGTTGTCGCACGGGTTAAAATTAGATAATATGCCTGGCGCATATTTAGTGTTCCAGAAATGTTAGCTGTTATTAATCATAATGAATCGAAGGATATACAGATGCTGGAAATACTGTATTTAGCCATCACGCCACGGGGAACTCTCAAGTAATTTTGCAATAATTACCACCTGTAATTGAAACCTAGTTTTGCCAAGTAGTATTTTGGTAAACGTGTATAACAGAAACATCCACACTGCTTAAACAGGGTGGCAAGTAAAGACAGAAATTAAATGAACATTTCTCTCTCAAAGTTCCAAACTGCATACGCCTTCCAAGAGAGAAGGGAACAAGGTCCCTTCCCCCAAAGCAATCGGGAAGGGCACCTTAGATCCGCGCAATTTGGGGACAGTGGCTTTGAAGTTAACCAGGTTTCCTCCAAGGCGCGTCTAGTATGGCCGGTGACTGGCCCGCGCTCGCCTCCCGCCGAGACCCCCGGACCTCCACCTGCTCTCGTCCAGCCCAACTTGATTTATGAAAGGAAACACCGGACGCCCAGGGCTGCTGACCTCACGCGGCAGCCTCACGTCACCCGACAGAAGCTTCACGAGTGCGTCCTGCTAGGGGAGACTCGGAGATTTGCAAAGAGAGAGAGGAGGCCATCCGCGTTCGCCAGCCCGGACCTCGGGAAGTGAATGGCCGCACAGCTGGCAGTCCTGGCGCGCGGGGCGATTTAACCCTTCCCTTCCAGTAAGGAGGTGGGGAGGAGGGATGCGAGCCAAGCAAGTAAGTTCCAGAGCAGGACCGAGAACGCCCCTGACCCCGAGCCCAGCTCGCCCTGCTTCTGAGCGCGTCCGGGCGGCCGTGTTCCGCACAACCTGGTGGCAGGACCATGCGCCCCTCCTCTGCCCTGAGCCTCGGGGACGTTCCCCCAGGGACCCCTCGTCCTGCTACCTCGAGGCTCTCCAGGCGGTCCTTGAGGGTCTGCAGAGAGCGGCTGAGCTGCTCCACGACGTGGCCAGGGTCCCGCGGCAGGTCGCCCATGGTGTCCTTGCCCGAGGCCGCCCGGCCCGGCGCCTTGCCCCCCGCAAGCCCCTCGCAGCGCCCCAGCTTGGCCGTGAGCTCGCGAATGGCCTCGCGTTGCGAGCCCAGCGTCTCCTTCTGCTGCACGACGGTCTCACGCAGCTGCAGCACTGCGGCCCGCAGCTCCTCCTCGGGGCTCAGCGCGCCGCCCTGCATGGGCATCGCGGGCAGTGGGCAGCCGGCGCGCGCCGCTTCCGGGGGCAAAGCAGTGCACACGAAGCGGTTGCCGGGCGCCGGGCCGTCTTGGGCCCCGGCGGCCACGGCGAGCGCCACGCCAGCGGCCAGCAGCGCCAACATCCCGCCGCTGCCGCGCTCACTCCAGCATCCGCGGGCGGGCAGGCTAGCGGTCTAGAGGGCGCCGTCGGGGCGGGCGGCGGGGGCGCCTGCGCGGAGGGCTGCGGCCGGGCGCGCCGCTCGAGGGCAGCGTGAGCGCGGGAGCCCGCGGAGCCGCCAGCCGTCGTACGGCTCGCTCGCTTTGCCTGGCTCCGAGCTCTGGCCAGGCCGGGCCCGAGCGCCCTTTCTTAAGCTGGAAGGGAGGGGGGGGGGGCCCAGCGCATGGGGAGCGGCGCCGCGAGCTCTGATTGGCCTGGCCTGGTTTACGTCACGCAGGGGGCGGGGCGGGGGCGCCTACTCGCGGAGCGGCGGAGCGGCTGAGCGGCGGACCTGGGGGTGGGTGTGTGGGCCCGAGCTGAGGGCGCGAGCTTGGGCCCCCGGGTTCCCCAGAACCGGGGAGCTGAAGTAAATAAAGGCTCTGGGTGCCTTCGGGAGCCTCGGCCGGCGTGTCCAGGCCCCCCTCGGACCCACCCGAGGACGCGGGCATCACGGGCTGTGGAGAAGCCAAGAGCCCACTGGTGCCCTGGCGGCCCCTGGGGCGGCTCTGGGCTGCGGGCGCGGCGCCAGGTCTCGTTCCGCGGTCGCCGCAGCCCCGGGGCGGGGGCGACCCCCACTTCACAAGTGGAGAAAGTGAGGAGGCGCCCGGGCGGGGCTCGAACCGTGGGCTGCCGTCGCCCCCCGCCCGCGGCCCCCTCAGAAGGCGGGAAAGAGACGCACGACGGCCGCCTCCGGGACGCCCTCAGCGGCCTCGTCCCCGTCCCCGTCTCGGAAAGAATTCTCAGGTCTGCGGGGACCAGAAACAGGCTCCAGACGCAGGAGGAGTCGCCCGCGCACCCTCGGGCCACGTTGCCTTCAGCTAGGGGAGTGCAGTGGGCCGGAGTCTCGAGGCCACGCACCGGGCTCTCCAGTGCGGGTCCGGCGACAACCCACCGGGTGGTGACCTTATTCAGCAAGGCCTGGGCTGGATGGGCCTTGATCCCGACCGCAGTCGCGTTGAGATGGCGCCATGTGGTGAAACCGTGCGTCACCCTTGTGAATGGGCTGCCCACCGTGTCCAGTTTCCCCATTAGAAACCACTGTCCTCAGATTCTTGGAGGGTACATGGACGGACAGAAACCCCCAAAGGCAGGAGCAAATTTGTTTCGGAATCTGGGCTGTGGTTTACAAACAAGTTCAGAGAGATTCTGGTGCAAAGCTACAGACGGAACTGGTTTACTGCACATTATAAGTGGAAATCTTTATATTTTTCTGTTTTTAAGGAATCCTGTGGCAAGGTCATTAATCATATTATCCATTATACTAGAAACAAATGGATTTGTCACTTCTACACAGAAGCTGAGGTTGATTCTGAAAACAAACTGTATCAAAGGAAATGAAATTATTATGATAATATGAAATAGACTGCAGTGATTAATCTCCAGAAACCGAATTTTGACCTGCTTTGCACTTCGAACAATAGCTTCCATTATGTAAATAGCTGTGGGGTTTTCAAGGATAATGTTGCTAAATTACAAGAAAAAGTTCTATACATGAAAATCTCTTCATGCATAAACATTAGAGACAGGAAATCTGGTCTCCACAACACTCAAGGCAGAGGACAGTGGAAGTGATGATGGTTCAGGTAAGAATATTCACTATAGTAGAAAAGGTGTGGAGTGGGGGTTGGGTGGCTAATGGGCTAATGTATCTGTTGGTCTGCACCACCCGGAGGTATCAGTTTCAGGCTGTAAGTATGACCTTGAATAGACTCGTTCCTCCTACATCCTTCTTACTTCAACTCTGGAAACTCCTCAAGTTCAAATGAGCCCTCATATACACAAACTGCAATAATGAAGTAACAAGGTTGCAAAGCACTTTATAAAATGTCACATTTTAGATTATTCCACAATGCTCTGCATCCAGACTTGTTGAGAATTACCCAGATAAGGATGTGACTTTTCAGTTTTCTCTCAGAGGTCCAATGTTTTTTTAACACATAGACCTGGGTGGATCTTAATTTGTTGTGACAATTAGGGCAGTATGCCTATATTTTCCCATATATCCTTTCTTGGCATAGACTGATAGATTCATATTTACAGCTTGAAATAGAGGCTTGTTCCTTTAATAATTAAATAAATAAAGTGTATTTCCAGAATTCTAATTTCCTCCTGAATAAAGAAAACAGTGTACAAGAAGACATAGAAATAACAAAGCATATATCCCAAAATATTTACTCGTAAATTTCTCAAAAGATTTCCGGTATGAGAAGTGATCAGTGAAACTGCCAAAGCCCAGATGGAAAGACCCAGGCATTTAAGATGTTATTTTCTTTGGAGGCAGTATAATTAGAGGGTTTAGTTAACAGGGTATATGCTATTTAGGACTTTGTTTTGTCTTCCTGGTGCAGTGGAAAGTCTGCTGGCTTAGGAAGGAGTCCTCATACCAACTCTGTCACTAGCTCAATGGTTTGGGGGCAAGTCATTTCTCCTCTCTGGACATCAGTTCCCTTGTGTATAAGATAAGGGGATGAGACTAGACTCTCTGAAGGCCCTTCTGATGATGCTCAAGAGCTTGTAGTTTGAGAAAGCATTACTGTTCAGTGTGATGAATGTCCCAGAGCCTTGTCCTTTCTGTTTGTGTTGTGAACCACCTGTAGCCAAGGGTGACTATGGGAAGGCAGGGTGCTTGTGATACAGCAGGTAACCCTTCTCACAGGGAGAGGCCATAGCTGGGGTTGAAATCCACCCTTGGCGGCATGGAGGTTTGTCCTTGATTTACTGGCAGCACAGCAACCTCGCCTACCTGAAGGATTCTGCATCCTACCCATGAATATGGTTGCATGAGTGGCAGAGACCAGGGCCCACAGAATCTCCTTCACTTGAAAAGTCATGCAGATCTGTAGCAGTGAATCAGCTCCACCTAATCTCTTAGTGTAATTTATGCTGCAGCATAGTAGCCACCCACTCATTCACTATGTCTCCTGGCTCCCAGGTTAGCTGAGAGCCCACTATGGACTTAAACCGTGTGCTGGGAATCCTGATGAGCTCATTCCACCTCCATTTTATTGCCCCATCTGTTTGGTTCTCTTGTTCTTCTCACATGCATTTTTATCTTGGTCTTCTGGGAAATGTGCTAATTTCCACCATGGTGTCAGAGGATCCATCTTATACTTTTTTACATTTCCTTCTCTCTTTCTCAGTGCCACTTGGGAAGTCAAGAATGGGGGTTTGAGCTCAGTAACAGATTCTAAGGACAACTTCCTGCAAACATGACTCAGGAACTGTCCTCCATTCTGAATTTCAGTCGTGTGTAGGGGAACTAAGAGTGTGTGGTTGGTGGTGTTTTTGTTTTTTTGTTTTTTAAATGTAGGATTCAGTGCATATACAAGAAGATTTGGAGGCTCCAGAGACTCCTAACTAATAGTCTTTTATGCTTAAAATACTAAGACCCCCCTCAAGAGTGGATTTTTCACTAGAATGAACTGCATGGTAAAGTAGAAAGTGCTTGAGCTTTGGAGTCAGACAGCTCTTGTTTCAGTTCTAGTTTTATAACTTGCCATTTGACCTTGAGAGGATAGCTTAACCTCTCTGAGCCTCAGTTTTCTCATCTCTAACTTCAAAGCTAAATTTACTACAAAATTTTGTCTGGCTTGAGTGAGATAATGTATGTGAACATGTTTGGCATATAGCAGGTGCACAACAGATCCTAATTGTCCATTTCTTCCCTCTTTCACCACTGACTTCAGAGATGAATTATATACATTTTTAAAAAACAAACTTAAAATTTTTCCTTTATTTTCTATGACATCAAGTTGAAATGAAATAAGGCAAGAAAGGATTCTTGAGAAAACAGGCCAGCCTCTTTGGAGGAAAGGCAAGGGATGAGAACTTAAGGAAGATTTATTGGTGTCTCAGCAAGAGAATGTTATCCTACTTTGTGTTGTTTTTTTAAGATAAAGCATTGTATTTATTAACTTTAATCAGAGAATTCAGTCAAAATGAACTGTTTTACATCTACACTAACTTAAAATCTCTAAACTATGTGCCTGGACCCAACTAAAAGATTTATAGTCCTTAACATTTCAGTGATTCTGAGTTTGTATTGCTAAGGGATACCAATAGATATAAGGCCACTAAATAAAGCAAATGTTCTCTCTTCAGTGCATCTGGGTTCTTCTCAAATAACATATTTCTGGTTTAATTTTGGGAGCATGTGGTATGAGACATTGAGTTTCAGGAAGTGTTCCTGTACTAGTGTACGATCACATGTGGCTGGAAAGCCATGATTTGGGGAGATTGATTATTAATATTACCCAACTGATTTCAGCAAACAAAAAAGGGGCTTTTGGTGGCATTCTCTGATTTCAAGCAGTAGAACAAGATACTGGATAAACTGAGGATAATGTCTTAGCTCAGTTTTTAAAAGTAAAGGATAGTAGACTGGGGATGGGATGAGCTGAAGGAAGGGACCTCATCAACTTGGTTTTCTTGGAGGAAATACTCTTAGAATGTAGTCTCAATTTCTCTATATTAAGAAACACTTAGAAAGCGCTTCGGTTTTACACAAGTTACAAGCAGTAAAACTGACATATATCTGTAATTCAGTATCTCCTTGTGGTTTAGGCACACAGCTAGCTTGCTTCAATCTCTGAAAGTGAGATTGAAGGAGATTTTATAGAATTTTGAAGACTGGGGAATAGTTTAAGAAAGGTCAAAATGTCATATGGCCACTTAACAGCAGGGCCAAGTTGGAACTCAGGTTCTCTGGTTCCCAGTCAAGAGCCCTTTTCTCTGTACCACACCCTAGCTTACTCATTAACCCTTTAAAATGCTTGGCTTCCTCAAAAACAGCTTCCTTAAAAATTAATAATTTGCCATACCAGATCCAATGACCATTTTCATATATTTTTCCTGGAACTTAAAGCATTCAACATTGTTGGCTAAGTCCTTTTTAAATTAAAACTTTCCATTATTTGTTTCTATGAT